TATATATATATATATATATATATATATATATATATATAGGGAAAAGTGATTACTCAAATACGAAATTCATACATTGTAATATTGCATTAAAATATTATTATTATTTTTTAAAATCATGCAGAATTTTGTAGCAATAACCGATGAAAAGGCGATCAAGAAATGAAACTGACTTACAATGGAATCTGTACAAATTGAACGAATTAAAAAGTGATAACTCGAATTTGAAATTCAAAATTTATTATTTTTTAGGGAAAAAAAAAATTCAGTGTGTTCAAAAGCTCCCCACAAGCTGCAGGTTTTCAACCCAATTTATGCTAAAAAATATCGCTAGGAGAACAGAAAAGTTTCCCAACAGTCTCCTTTTCCGAAAATGGTTGCTTTTTAGCCTTTTCTGGCAAAGAAAAGTCGCCAAAGTCAACTAATGCTGAATATAGTTGCATTTTAGTCGCCTGTGGCAATCCTGCAACAGCATCTTCTTAATTATTGTTATTTATTTTAAAAAAAGTTTTGATTATAATTATAAATACAATTGCGTGGTTACTTCACTTTTGGTCACTTACTAAATGAAGTCACTGATTATTATTATTGAGTATTTTCAACAAAGAACTGTAATTTTTTTTGGAAAATCTACAATTGGTAAACTCAATGTAATTGTCAAAACACAAAAAATTTACACTTTCACAACAATAAGCTATGCTATTTCAAACGCATTTAAAAAAAAATTTTTTTTTCCACGAAGACTGAGAAAAAGCATGGTCTCCATTTTGTGGTTCAGTAATTCAAGCACCATACAGCATATTGTTTAATCAAGGTTGACTTCACTTTTGACCCTCTTGCTTTCTAAATAATATGCATTGAAGAATCACATGAGACTTTTTCTGTAGTAATTTATAAGCTTTGAATGAACTTAAGTTTAGAGCGGCTATTTATTTGTGGTCAAGAATCTGTACCAGATGGCACCATGGCCTCAAAATTGCAAGATGGAAAGAGTTTGTCTAAAATGACCATCAGAAGGAAACAGAAGTATAAGAATTCATAGAATTGCAAAATTTATTTCAAATTTAGTTAACACATGACCATACCGACCAACATTGGAGAAATAAAATAACGGAGATTTTACTAGTGACATTTTTAAGCTACACGTAAAGTTTTGATACATCATGCATAATCATGTAAAATTGGAAATAATATAAGCACTTACATATAGTGAAGTAAAAAATATGTGTAAAAATCTTAATCTAAAGAAGATTTTTTTAAAATCATTATTTAAAATTACTTAAACTATAAACACTCAACATACTGCAGTACTGGTAATAGCATCATCTGTTAAGGAATAAGAGGAGTATATTTGCCAACAGCAGATATTTCACCAGCAAGTTTTTTTTTTTAATTTCTTCCACAAAGACGGAGAAATTTGAAAACATATGGGGAGAACAACATTGGGTAAACAGGAGATAGTTGCATACAGGAGTCTTTGTTAAAAAACAGGAGACTTGGCAGGTATGCATGGCTGTGATAAATAAGAGAAACTATAAAACGATGTTTTCAAAATAGCCATTATTTACAGAAACAGCTGGGAACAATCTTAGGACAAAATTAACAGACAAGAGATATTTAAGTTGGAATGGTCCGTATTATTTAGTTTTTCAGTCAAAAGTGCCATCCATTGAATAATTTTATTACCAATTTTAAAATTTAGTGAGATTAAATGCATGTTTTCCTAAACAGAATGCAAGAAGTTATTACTTTCTATCTTTCTCCAATTATCGATTGATTTACCAAATCTTGAGTTACTTATGTGCTCAATTCTTACTACCAACTCAATATTACAAAATCAAAAACGTCAAGAAATTATGTTTGAGACAAAAGTGAAAAGAAGAAAGAAGGAGAAAACAAATTTAAAAAAATTACCTCAGTCTTTTGAATTTTATCTACAAGGAGTTTTCGAAATTTATCAAAATCTTCTTTAGAAGACGGCTGGAAGTTGTCTATACTATCAGTGTCATTCTCTATTACACCTGGAAAAAAAAATTCTGCTAGTTATTACTTTCAGAAGACTTTGCTTATCAGAAATTTTCAATTTCTTTTACATTTCATCTATAACTTATAATTAAGCCTTAAAAAATAATTAAATAATCATTGTGTCAACAAACTTGTAAGAATCAGTTATCAGAGAGAGTAGCAACATTTAAAAAAAAACTTTTAAGCACTTAAATTCTTTCTTCCTATTAATGAAATTTCCTTCATATATATATTAACTAAAGGCAAAATAATTACCAAAGATTATACATGACCATGATTAAAAAATTAGCTTCTGACAAAGAACTTTTTTTTATTTTATTATATCAGCCACCACAAAAACAATTTATGCACAATTTTAAAAATATTCAATATTAAGCGAATAATACTTTACGTAATTATGTAAAAAAAGTTGCTTCTTGTGTGTTTTGTAAACTATTTAAGTGATGATAAAATATTTCAAAAAATTATTAATTGTACAAAAATTAAAATTTTTGCATTATTTTAGTTATACATAAAATCAGCATAATGGTTTCTATGTGATAAAATTATAGAAAAGTTGTGCTTTTAAATTTCTCAAAATCTATTTGACCTTGCACATCTAAACTCTGTCATTGAAAATAACGAACTTATTTTTTTTCTTTGCACAAATTACATTTGATCTGTAATGTATAAAAAAAAACAGTATAAATTTTTAAAAAAAATTTTCTTTTCAGACTGCTCTTAAATTAAATAAAAAATAATCTTATTATGTTTTAATCTGCATGGGAACTTTCTTGGAAAACACTAGTTTAATAATTGCTCAATGTTCTGTCTAATTGATTTTAGGCCCGCATTTTGATCCATATAAATGTGCCCACTTTTTTTAAGAAAAATTTATTCATTGTTTCTAAATAACAATTACACAAAAAAATTATATCTGTTTATAGGCTTTATTCTGATTACTAAACTAAACTCAGTGGCGCGACAGCCCATAGAGGGTCAAGGCCTACAGTGCCCATCTTAGTTTTCTTGACCTTGGGCTCTGGGGTGCAGGAGCAGATGTTCTGATTAGGTGGTCAGCTGAACCCCCAGTGTTTAGTTCCTAAGCATGCTTGGTACTCATTCATTGACCCACTGAAGGGATGAAAGGCTGAGTCAACCTTGCCCGGTCCGAGGTTTGAACCCAGGACCTGTGGCACAGGAGTGCTACCACTCAGCCACCGGGCGTCTATTCTGATTACTATTACACACATTTGCTTTGTTAGGATTATTATCAACTAGTTAAATTTTATAAGTTTCTCTTCTTTTAAAGGAAGGGGAGTATTAATAAACTTTTAAGTAATTTTAAAATTATTTTTAAAAATATCTTCTTTTCTTTAAATGCACTTTTAAATGTTTCTTTTCTAATAAATTTCAGTATAAATTACAGAAGAAATATTTTAAGCTGTTTATAAAAAAATAATTTCTTTTAGTTCAAATTTTTTTTTTTGAAAAAAATTATTATTCATAATCTACAAATTTTTCTCTTATTAAGATGAGAGAAAATTACTTTTTGAAATATACACATAATATAGCATAAGATGGTAACTTAAAAATTGTTGAGGATCATATTCAGATATTACACATTTTGATAAATTTTTATGGTGTTAAGTGAGTGCCCTTTTAAATTTCAAAGTGTATCAGTCAAAACTCAAAGTGCAAATGAAGCACCCTACCCTTTTTTATTCCTAGGAAGAACTCTGTAATTGCGTGCAATAATTTTTCTTTTGATTTGTTTAAACAGTTTCAAAGATATTACGAAGTACGCAAAAAGTACAATTTACTTTTCGCTTGAAAAATATAACAATCTTTGAACTGCTCGTAAGACAAACTATTAAGAACAGATTTCCAAACAATATCCATATTATAAGGGTAAAAAAAACTAACATTTTTAAATGTTTTCAGAGTACTAATGTTTCTGTCTTGATTACATAAAATATCATCGGCACAAATTAAACAGAATAGTTGAGTTTCATTATTATGCATAAATAATGTATATTTGTACACGAGATTAAATGAAAAGGGGTTTTTTCATTTTGCGCACAGCACACAGTTATAAGCATTGCTATTTTAAAGAATCCCTTAAATATTGAAAAATTATTGTTATTTTTTTACAATATTAATTTAGACAAGTAAGAATCTTAATGTATATGTCTTATGGAGATAATGACACAACTTTGAATTATAAGGGCTATTCAAGGAAGCTGATATCAACAAATACATCAAAATGAGTTGCTTAAAGCCTGTGGGTCACATCTGTCAGATGAACATTTAAGATCTTCAATTACAAACCAATGTGAGAGGTAGGCCTAAGATCAGATGGCTTGAAGATGTGAAAGAGGATTTCAAAATCCTAAGAATTATTAACTGGAGAATAATAGCAAACAAAAGAACAGAATAGACAGTAGGTTCTAGGGAAGGCTCTGGGCCACAAAGGGATGCCAACAGAAGAATCTTAACGAGTATGAAAAATGTGATCTTGCCTAAACAGGGTGGTAGAAAACTGTTAGGGTGAAGACTTTTCCATACCCATTTTGATAAATTTCCCTGATTTTTTTTCAGCAAAGGGCGCTGTACTCTTACAGACAATATTTTAGGTTCTTATGTCTAGTGAGCTCTCTCACTATTTGGCTAGTTTGTATTCACTTGTTGGCAACTTTTTTTCCAGCTATCATTTCATTCACGTGATTGTACCTTTTTCGAGTGTTGAAACTTTCACGTATATCAGGTTGTACAAGATTATTTCAAATAAAAAAAAATTTAATATGAAAAAGAAGATATGTTACAAAACAAATATTACCATTCAATGAATAAGCTTTCTTCCAGTTTAATAATGCACATGAAAACCATCACTCAAAAAATTATAGTAGACAAAAATAACAGGAGCGAGATAAGAATTACCTAGATAATTTATATTGGTAATAGCGAAATAAAAATACAGTCAAATCAAGATTGACAAATTAGTGATTTCTTCTAAAATTAAGCAAACACGAATGTTCTTTCAAAAATTAAAATTATTCTATGTGATATTGTCTTTATTTACTATTTACCTAGATCAAATGCCAGAATAAATATCTTATAAATTTAAACCTATGTTTTGTAGGATAAACAAGCCAGAGGTGACTATCAGTGCAACTTTTCTTGGTGCGTTTAAGGGCATTTGTTTACTCTTATTTCCGTATTGAAATCATACATATTAGGTGGCATAAATTTTATTATTAATTTTCTGATTATGCCTTATTATTATTCATAAAATATAAACACTTATACCTGCTATTAGAATTGAACATAAATATTTTTTATTAAATTATAATGATTAAATTATTATTACAAGACCATTTGTGTAGAAAAATATTGGACTTTTGTATACCTCTAACTTGAATTAATTCATTTTCTTTTACTTTTTGGGTATTTAAACTCTTAGATTTTTCTAAATTACTAAATATGTTTCCCATACATATATGCCAGTGATTCTACTTTCGCACTGCAACACGTCAAATACACTCAAAATTGCAGAAAGGACACAAAAAATACATTTAGATACTTAAAAAGAAACAACACACCTGCAGATTTATGTAAGCAAAATTTGTAATACTCCGACAATTAACAAACCGTGCCAATCATCTGCAGTTACTGAATAAATTCCGACGTTTGTTTACATGGGCGTCTGCTTGGGCCTACAAGTTTGCGACCAGGGAGCAGAGTTGCCGGTTTTACTTCACAATTAAGGATTAGCATATATTTATCTTTCTTTGTGTTTTTCAATGGTTAATATTAGACATCTAGTTGTTGGCCTCAATAGTATGTAAATTCTATGTTCATAATTAGAGCTCTTTATTTTTTTTTAAAATCTCAGCTTATTATTTACTTATATACGTCATTGTCCTACAGACAGTCATCTTGAGTATATGAACTGCTTTTTAATGTCAACTTGTTCCTTTTACCTCGCATCTTGTTTATCTTTAAATCAAACAACATGCTTTACTCGACTTGCACAGATATCTGTGCGTCTAGAAAAAGGGATCATAATTTCTCGATGTTTACAAAGATAGAGACAAAATGTTTAAATGTTTTAGCCAGAATGCCTAGTTTTATTTTTAGTTTGGGTTGAAGCAATTTGTTTAAAATGCTAGTACAGAAAAAAAAGCTTTCAACACAACAAACCAGTTTGAACGGAATAATTTAATAAAGGAGTGGAGTAAGGCAAAACCTTTCATATTGGAAAAAAAAAAAGATTAATTCTGACAAAAAGTAGAAAAAATTCACCTTTTGCATGTGATCGGTGAATTTCCTACAGTTTTTACAATTGGTTTTTCAGTATTGTCATTGATTTACATACGGATTTTAAAATTCTGATAAATTAAATAAGACATTACCACAACGTGCCAAATAGGAATTGCACATTTTGTACGGATTCCATGGTATATCCATATGATGATTTTATCGGCTGTAACTGCTATTGATTTTCAACCCCTTAACTCGGATAATTTACAAGAAAAAGGTCATAAAAGTGACTACTTTCTTTATCAAATCACAAATACACATTTGATTAGTGCTGACATCTAGTTTAAAATAAACTATCTACAATTATCTTAAAAATATCCTGGTACTGCCATCTAGTGTGTAAAATGAGAAATAAAATGTTTTACGGGCATAAGAAATGAATTAGTCTTATTCTTATTGGCGCGTTACTACTGAACACTCCTGACCAGAAATATAACGGGAGCGAGAAATAGAGGGCAAAACCTCACCACGTCATTTTCACAGGAGGGAGGTGTTAATTTTTTCATTATTTGTGAATTTTTAACATCTCGATATTTTTACGATGTTATTAAATACAATATGAAAGTTTTGAACTGTGCATTTGACTAACAACTTTTTGACATGACACACAATTTTGCCTTGAATCCAGTTTTGAGACGACCCCTTTCTGGACAATACATTTAATTCCATTGTCATGTGTTATACCTTCATCTACATTAGACATAGGAACCCTAATATTTAATAGTAATACAGTCAATCCTCAACATTAGAAACTCTTAGGTTAACACTATAATTTTTATAAATTGGAAAGAATTTTTTTTTCCAAACAATTCAGTCAAAACAATAACTGCTCTGACATTTTAAAAGTTTTACGACATGCATTTATTTCAAAACTCAAAATTTTTGCTTTTTAATTTGATTATACAATTTGCTTAAGCTCTTCTGTTCATCATCTTTACATTCTCCAGAAGTTTTAGCTTCTTTTGACAATTCAGACTACTTCCTCATAAATATAAATTTTTTTTCTATGCTATACACTTGTTCTTTTCTTTTAAAATGAATGTTTCAGATTTTTTTTTCAAACATATATAAATAAATAAAAAAAAACTCATAAGATTGAGCAAAAAAGAAATTAGATAAGACTGTGTAAGAATTATGCAGAGATCTGGAATGCAAAAAAGCCTTTTAAATTATCATTTTTAATAGTTTTTGATGATCAAAAATATATAATGAAAAAGGAGAGTCACTGGGAAAAAAATTTGGCTAAAAGAGGTTTTTTTCTATTAGTAAAATATCAAAACCTCACATTTTTCACAACATCTAGCCTTTTAAATTATCATTTTTAATAGTTTTTGATGATCAAAAATATATAATTAAAAAGGAGAGTCACCGGGAAAAGTATTTGGCTAAAAGAGGTTGCTTTTTTTTGTCAGTAAAATATCAAAACCTCACATTTTTCACAGTATCTAGGTTAGATTGCATTTGGTGCCATTAGATCCATCAAACCATTAGCAACAAATTTCAAATGAATTAAAGTACAGCTAAAAATTTATGAAGATACAGATTATGTAAGGCAATCAAAACCTTTTGGTTAACATACTGAAATAATAAATTCAAAGAGAGTTAATCACTTTTTAAGGGAAAAAAAATAAAGAAAAGATCAAGCAGTTAAAATGTAATGAAATAAGTAAAAGTATAAGAAATATTAAAAATACAAGAAAAATTCCTAAATAAGAAAACATGAGAAAAGGAAAATATTAGTTATTCAAACACAGAAGAGAATGTTTTTGCTGTAGAAGTGCCAAGAAATAACCAATAGGTTTTGAAAGCTTGCAGTATTTTAAAAACTTAACAGCATTCTACAATAACTAGACACAAGACCAACAAATATGAATGTTAAAAAAAAAGAATGATTTTAATATGCTACATGTAAATGACAATTTACAGACATGAGTATTAAATATTACAAAGCACTTCAACAGCATTAACATAATCTTTGTGACATAAAAAATATTAAGATTTACTACGCAACTAACCAAAAGTTTCTTTAGCTAATTGTAAATCTGCTTCTTCTTGCAGCTTTTGTTGTTTTAACTTATGTGCCAGCCTTTCTTGTGGAGTTAGATCTTTACTAGGTTGTTCTTGCTATTAAAAAAAATTGTTACATAAATATAAATAACATTAAAATTAACTTGAAATGTGACAATTCCACAATTTTTTTAAAAAAGGTTTTGGCAGTTATTGTTACTGGTTTCCATATGGTTTTTATAAATTCCAACAATTTTTATGATATTATTATGAAATTTGAATCTCCAATTAAATAATCACGTCCTGAAGAGCTCTATTTAAAGCTGATAGTATATTGAAACCCCCAGGAAAGACCACCTCTATGTAGAAGACCACCTAAGAAGACTATAAAGACCACCTCTTCTCTATTTACGCCCACTTTTGGGAGGCACAGAATTTCTTCTTTTTAAGAAAACTTTCAGGAAAGATCTCCCCCAGCGGCCGGGAAAACCTGTGTATCGAATGCGGGAAAAGCCAAATAAGGAAACAAGAAAAAATACCAAAACAAAAATTGCTAATAAAAAAACAGGAAGTGAATTAAAATGCATTTAAAATATTTGTCCGGGGCTATTATTTGGAGAGCTGTTTTTGACGATCTCTGACTACAACCTCATGTTGCAGTCAGAATGCACTAAAAACAATGCTATAAATTTGTTTTATTTTTTATTTTTAGAGTTGAAAATTAAATTAGGAGAAAAAAAAGTCTTTTGAAAAAACTAAGCACCTATAAAAAAACTCTTCTCATTCCTTAAAGGTAACCAATTTTCACGATATAAAATTAAATGCAAACTTTAACAAAAAAAACAAACATAACTGTTCATTCATTTAAAATAACTCTATCATTCATAATTGGTAAATTTGTTTTTCCACATTACTATAGCTGTAGGGGCAATTTCTATCGACACCAAATTTTATTCATCGATCATGTTTTCATGAATCATTTGCGAAAAATCATACATTTTTATAACATTTTGCAGCCAATGGAAGTAACCCCTAAGAAAACATCCATTAACAACCATTTTATTGTGGAACCGATAGTGGTCGCTAGCAAAAGGTTTCACTGAATTATACATCCAAGTGATGCTTCAAATGTTTTCCTGCAAGTGTTGCTATCAACTTTCACAAGGTTTTTAAAATTTCAAGGTTCTTGATTTTAAACAATATGGGAAATATGGATAATTTAATAGTACAGAGGAAAGTCTCATATCCGGATTCGTTGGGACTTTCCCGGAAAATAGATTTTTCGGATAATACGCCAGATCATTTATTTTAATTATTTTATTAATCACAGCAAAACTAATTCTAAAGACACAGTTTAAACAGCAATTCAAAAAATTACTAAAATTGATAAATAAACAGTAGTTATGTAGTTAGCCGGTTAATACAAAGACATACATTATTTTATATATATATATATAAATATAAAAAAAAAAGAATCTATGACTTAAGTATTTAAAAACAAATAAAAAAACAGAAAACAGCACATTTCTTTGATTCCAATATTATGCTTCTATTTATAGTCAAAGAAGGAAATAATCTAAGAGCCCTTTATTAAAACTAGCATGAAAAGATGGTACAGTAGAGAACCATTTATCTGGTATCCAAATAACCAGGAAAAATTTTGATTGGTTTTCCCACCATTTTAAACTAGAACGATTATGAAAAAAAAGCGGAAATTGAACTCATCCTTGAAGTTGAGTAGAGGAAAATGTAAGGATGGGGAGAATTTTTTCCCCCGTTTACCCAGAGAAATGTCATTTTCTCCATGACCTTGAAGGCAGGGAAGGGAGGAATGTTTTCCTTTCTCCTTTAGGCCGTCAATCAAGCTCAAGGGTGTGGCATGCTGATTTCGTTTTCTGTTTGATTTAGGAGGGAGTGGGGAAAATGCATTGCATGCATATCAGTGAACAGAAGATGAAAGAGAAAAATATATTTATCTATTATATTATAAAAATATATTATTAATAAAAATAAAATCTTTTTCTTCTGAATAAATTTTCATTCTTTGGAAGTGCGGTATCATTTGCAAGTTTTTATTGATGTGAAATCACATCTGCTGTAATTAAATATCGTGTTTTTATCAACAAAAAAAAAGGAGAATTGTTTATTAATTTAAACATAGGATTATTTTATGAAGCAGATTGCAGTTTTGTTTTTCTGATTCCACTACGTTTGATATTTTTTTCTTTTTTCGATAAATTTCGCACTTAATAAATTGATTCTTTTTATTCATAAATTTTATTATTAGGTTTTTTTTTAAAATTCCGTTGATCTTGCCTTGTTCCGGGTTTTAATATTTATGCTAGTGCCTTTTTTAACTATTGTTTTACTTAGTTAATTAGTTTTCCTTTTATTTTATCGTTTCCCCCGTATAATTAGGTATAAAATGTTATTTAACCATTGGTTTCGTTTATATTAGTTAATTTAGGAATTGTAATTATTTTTAAAAAATAAATACGAGAATTTTGTATTTTTTAAACTTGTTTATTTCTTTTAAATGTTATTTTTTTACCATTTTTTATTTTTTTTTAAAAGTTAGGAGTACTTTTCTTTTTTCTCTTACTTTATGCGTTACACTTTTCCCTTGTAATTCGCGTTCGATAAAACATCGATTAACGACACTTCAATCCAAAAAACCGGGAAATTCAGACATCCGGGATAGCGATGGTCCTGAGCATCCCGGATAATTCGTTCTCTACTGTACTACATTAAAAATGGCTAGTTTTATATTTTGATTCACTATATTCTTAAGAAAGACTTCTTCTAAACTAAAATTGTTCCATTTGAATTAAAATTTAAACCTAAAAAGGGGTTAAACTAGGCAATATCTCACCTCCCCCAAAAGCCCAATAAAACCCACTGAGGATGGGGGTTTCAAAAAACTCTGTTCATAATACTATGAGATCTCTCTTGACTACTATGCTGTCATAAATTTTGCCATACGATACACAGGTACACACATATGCGGACCTGCATGTTTTTGAAGTCAGGGGTCGGTACATAAATTTTTTGAAAGGTCCTGTTTTTGAAAAACTATGAAAGAACTATTCATAATTTGTGAATATAAAATAAGCGTTAAGTCACATTCATTCAACCAGGATCCTGCTTTTGTGCAAATAGGGTCCTGTTATTGTAAAAATTGCTAAAAACCTTTTCAAGAAGTTTTCAAATTGTAAATAGATACAAGATTCTGCTCAACAAGTGCTGTTACAAAATTAGAGATACAACATAAATATTTGGTATTTAGCCTATATTGCTCACCACAAAATATTAATTTCGAACAAATAATGGAAACAAAATAACTCACATTTTCAATTAACACATTTTAAATAACACAATTTAGTAATGTATTTCTTTTAATGTGTTACGTATTAAGTAAACTTAATTTTTTTTTAATTTTATAATATTTTATTTAAAAAATTGCCAGAAATTAATTTTTAGATTAAACATAAATTAATCCATGTGCACACAATGCTTGTAAAAATAGAAATATTTTATTAGAATACTACATTTGAAAATTAAACTAAGGGAAACTTAGTTTGACTCAAATGGTCCCCCACCCCCGGGAAGGGTTTATTCAATTAACAAAACAATGAAGATAAACAAATTTGTGAGAGGTCCGTTGCCGGACCCAAATTTCTTCTTAACAGACCCCTGATAGTATAATTAAATATTAAGTAAATATAAAAGCTTCATACAAATCACTGAACTACTAAGTCAAAAGAAACAAATTATTTTCAGCATAACTAAATTATATAATATTTAAAATTAATATCACTTTCGAGCACATGGATTTTGTGCAATTATTCAAATATCACTTCTGTTTAAGTGGAATTTTACCCAAATAACTTATATTTTCTGCATCATCCCTTGGAATCCCCAGGACGATTAAACACCCCCAAACGTTAGAGTGAGAGTAAAACAATAAAATTTTTATAACATATTTTTAAAAGCTAAGAAGTGTAGGTCTACACACATGGACCGTGGTAAGGAAGAAGATATACTTTAATGACAAAATTATTACATTTACAATTAAAAATTATACACAGTTTTACTCTATATGTGGTGGCTTCCTGTTATAAACACAAAACACTTCAGTTATTTTAACATTTGTAACATATATATTCATTATAAATGTCTTGCAGAAAGACTTGAGTTTAGTCACAAAAAGCAGAAAAAAATTCCGCCCCAGGTGGTTGAAATTACAATTTATGAATCAATATTCAGCAACAAAATATTATGATAATAAATTAACTCACCATTTCCATCACTAATTTAAAACTCAAACATATTTCATGAATATAAATAATTTAAAAATGGTGTTGATTATATATAATAGGTCTACATACTAATTTCATTTTTTCTTCTATTTCTTTTCTCCTTTTTTCTTCTTTTTCAGCTATAATTTGTGCTAACGACTTTTTCTTCTTAGCTTGTGTAGCAACCACTATTTAAAAAGAATTTTTTTTTTAAGATCAAAAAATTTAAATTGGCATAAAAAGAAGATCAAATTTATTTCTTGGTCTTAAAAAACTATTACATCTGAAATAAATAATTTTTTTCCTTAAAACAAATGAAATTTTTTTGTCCTTTGATGGTTTAGGTACAGTAAAATATACCATAATTGTTATGAAAGGGAATAGATGTGTTAAATGCAGGGTTACATAAAACCAAAAGCTTTTTGCATGTACAAAAAATTTACCAAAAAACTTTCTACAAAAAAAAGTCTAACAAAATTCAAAAGTATCTGTTAATTTCAAACATGAAAAAAAAGTGAGTAAAACTACTTGGCATAAAGAAACAACAAATTATTTATATACTTGTATTAAAAAATGTATTCTTTGTTAATTAAGTAAATAATGGATTCTCTGCTAAGAGTAAGGGAGGCATTCATTCATATGAATTATATTTGAACACAGAAATAAGAAAGGCTGTTTCTTTAAAAAATCTTTTATTTTTCTCCACCACCCACCCATTAAAAATGTTTCTGCAAAAGATATTGTTAATTTACATCGCACTAGAGCTACACAATGGGACATTGGTGACAGTCTGGGAAACATCCCTGAGGATGATCCGAAGACACGCCATCACAATTTTGATCTTCACCAGAACAGGTGGCACCCCCGCTTTGATAGCCAGACGACCTGCACACGAAGTCGAGCACTTTACGGTAGCACAGTTTAACAAGGATCAATACCGCACATCCTCGGTCCCTAAGCAGACTGATCCAAGTGGTCACCCACCCGCACACTGACCGAGGTCAGTGACTTGGGTGCTCTGCTGGGATCAGTCCACTGCGGAATGCTTCTGCAAAAGAACGGGGATCTTTGTGCAGAAATAGATTCTATGAATCTGGTCATAAGTAACATTTTCTTCAACATCAAGATTAAAAATTTAACCCAAAAACAGTATATTATATTTCGTTTCAATTCCTTACATTTAATAGTAGGATAAAGTATCCGAGGGGCCGTGTCAACCTAGCGGTCAGAGCACCGGATTTCGGTCTGGGGAGAGATCCTCGAAGCCGAAAAGATCTATCGAGTTTGTGAGCTATAAGTGCTAGTAAAATCTGTGCAATCGAAAGTATCGCCGTTCAATGGCTGAACACTACCATGGTAATAGGATCTAGAGAGAATTTCTTTTCTTTCAGATCGATGTCTAAATTATGAAAGTGGCCTCATAAATGAGTGGTGCTGCCATTTAGCTGGACAATCTGATCTAAGCCCCACTTTCACCTGACCGGTGTTCTCCTGTCAAACAAGATGTACCACTTTCTGACTTGATTCGCAGACAGAGGAGCTTGCCTTGTCCAGTTGTCATTAGGAACAATACATGCATGATTTTTCACATTTTCCTTTTTCCATTGCATAAATTAATCAATGGTAAGCAGTTAATAATTACAGGAATACAAAAATGGAGAACAAAGAAATACATAACATATTAAAATACAAATAAATAATCCAATTGAAGAGAAAAAAAAAATTCAAGAAACTTTTTATTTTTTCAGATCAATTAAAAGTTTTAAGAAATATTTTTCTGATAGAAACATTCAAAGTTAATTTTTGCTGACATACAATCCCTAAAATCAAATTTAACAAACTTACTATTTTGTTCTGGCTTTTCCTCTTTATCTTCCTCCTCATCATCCCAATTATCCTACAGAGTGGAGGGAAGAAGAAAAAAAGATTAATTTCTTAAATAAAAATTAAAGTCAATATTAAAAAGAGACAGCATCACACAATCTGGAAAAATTTATATATATACATTTTTAATTAATTGGAGCACAGAATATTATAATTGAAACCAAAATTATAATTTTTTCAACTATTTTATTAAGGAGCTTTTGTATGCCTGTTGATAAATTGACATAAAAATTTCTGTTAATATTTTGTGCTAATATCATTTTTTTCATTTGTATTTGTTATTATCATTGCTTTCTTGCTGTAAAGGGGGATATCACCGTATCATGATCTGTCACACCAACTACAATCGCCAATTTACACTTGCAAATTAAAAAAAAACAAAGCATGTATGACCAGGGGTGGCCACGCGTTATACCTTTCGAGTTGGCTCTTTTCGGTCAGGTTTTTTTTCCTCTGAGACTTTATTATTCTGTCACAGATCACAATACAGACATCTTCCCTTATAAATTAAATACATTTTGGTTAGCCAATACAAGTGAAAAGTCACCAATAAAATAAAACCCAGCCAACTATTTTCAAAATTTTTTGGAAGATTTCAGTATTGGGATGAGCCGTAGAATAATCTTCTAGAAGTGCAGGTAACATCCCAGCAGCGTCCCCGCTTAACTAAAAAACATTATAGGAAGGGGAAATTGATATATTGAAAAATATAACTCACATCAGCCCCCGTCAAACATTTACCTATATCTTATAAAACAATTTGCAAGTTTAAAATTCAATTGAATAAACTAAACACATTATCATACTATGATGGATTTGAAATTTTACAAACTAAAAAATATGATACTGCATAAGACTGTAATAAACATTTTAAACTCAAAATCACTTGAGCAAATCATCCTTTAAAGAATTAATAGTTGTCAAGTAAGCAGGTACCAACTTAGACCTGCCACACACAAAATAATAATAAATAAACGGTACATAAATAGTAGCAAACATGTCAACGCCATTTATTGATATGAAGAAAAAAAAACTTTTTTTATTATAAATCTTAACTGCAAGATGATTTATATTTCATAAGCATAGAAAATCTATTAATTTATTAATAAAAATGACTTTTAACTACTAAAAAATGAAATTATCTAATATCAAGAATTGAACAGTTTCAATTTTTAACACGCTAATTTAACATTAAAATCACGAAATGTTATTCTTATAGAATGGCACTTTTATTTTTTTTTTCCATCTTAATGAACATGGTACAACGTGTTAACCTATTTTTACAGAATATAGAAGGGACGATTATTAGCACGAATATAGAATCGAACTGACATTTAAAAAACAATATGATTTAAAATATCTTGCTTGGCACGCATACAAAAATAATTGATTAATTTTATAAAAACTTACTTTTACATCATCATCTTCGTCTTCTCCTTCCCATCTGTCAGTGTGTGGAAGAGGTTTTTTAATAACAGGCTCAAAATCCTCATTTTCTATGAAAAAGAATACAATTCGTTAATATAAATGAATTGTCATCATTATAGATAAATTGAAACTAATATACATATAATTAAATAATAACCCCAATCAGCTTCACCATCCGCCATGTCTACAGAAGAATTTTATAAATATGAAAGGAGAAAAATGTAGATAAAATTTGTTTGCTTCAAAACACTTTAAAAAATTACATGAGGTGTCAAGACATGAACTTTTCAATACGTTTCTCGCAAGATGACAGTGTAATCGATAAATGAAATTGTTGTACTGCTACGTCTTTGAAATTTGGCATTCTCACTGCATGCATTACACACAACGCCCTGATTGGTATAGATGCGATGAAGATTTAAGGTCCAATCTTACAATCTTTTTCACATGCCGGAGAAAATCTAGTTGATTGGTTAACTTTTTAAACCAGAAATACCAATGAGGCTCCTTCTCCAATCTCCAAACTCACATATGCTATTTTTTTTCTTATACAGTGTAAATGGCTCCTATGGCTCAATCTCACTAGATGCGATTTATTTCCCATGTAAAAAAAAAAAAAATTCACATGCAAACCGAAACTTCCAGATTCTATTTCGATTGCAAAAAGAAGGGGAAAAAATCGCATCTATTGAAAATGATATTTTATTTACGACAAATTTAATATGATTTTTAGGTAGGTACTTACGTACTTTATTTACGTCACGCTAGAGCTGCACAATGGATATTGGAAATGGTCCGGGAAACATCCCTGAGGATGATTCGAAGATATGCCATCGCAATTTCGATTTTCTACCGAGGTGATGGCTCCCCTGCTTTGATAGCCTGCTGACCTACCCTCGAAGTGGAGTACTTTACGGTAAAACAGTTTAACGAGGGCTGATACCGCACCCTCTGATCCTAAGCAAGCTGATCAAATTGGTTCCCCACCCACTTACTGACAACAGCCAGTGATGCCTGACTTTGGTGTTTTACTGGGAACCGTGTCTTTAGAAATAGTCCCATGCGATATCTTTAGAAACACTGAGCTGACTCAGAGCTGCGGTTCTATTCTTTCGTCCTCGTAATGATAAATATCGGTAGTTGGTGCTCGTGGTAGCATTTCGCCGAGCTTGCCGGAACCATTTTAATGCCGAACCAGTGGTTAGAAATAATTGCCAAATTCTATGAACCATAGAAGGATACGAAGGATGTTAGCCGTCTCAATTTTCTATCTCAAATTTCTATTTTCAGGAACCTAGTGTTCAATTTTAGTAATCAAATGTATGTACTAAAAGGACTTTACAGCACTTTAAGTGCTAAAATACATGTACTAAAACAAATTACGCTAAATTCGGCTTATGCTTTTGACCTCACGTCAAATAAAATAAAAAAATTCTCTCAGGATTCCATTAAGATCTATTTGTAAGCATAAGTAATTATCCACAGTAAGTATTTTTTTAAATAATATTCAAAATTAAAGGTATATTGCTATAATAAAAAATTTTATGAGTTCACAACCGTAATTTCGCTTACCAAACAGACTGAAATGTTAAATACAATTTATGTTTTAAATAAATAATCTCGAGATATTGAAGCGATAAGATATTACTTGGTTAAAAAACTTCATTCACTTAAAAAAAATATAAAACTTGAAAATAACAGTCGGCATGTTTTAAGCCCTCTAAAATAGGTTCTCACCTTTATTTTTCCATTTTTCGGTTGCAACTTAACGTTTTATATTTCAAATCACTTTTTTTTCTCATTCACGTCTGGAAAGTCGTGAAAATGAGCTCCTATTTTAAAACGCTTGAAACATGTCTACCGTTATTTCCAATTTATATATTTTAGATGCAAAGTAAGTTTTTAATCAAATTATAATTTATTCATGTATCTTAAGTTTTTACTCCTTCAAGAAATCTATTTATAAGAGTATATTATTGTAATTTGCACCGAAAATACAAATTATAAAACAGTTCAATAAGTTTGTTTTAAAATGTACCAATCATAGAATTACGTTTTAATAAACAAACAACTCTTTTAGCTTCAAGCTCTTAATTTAGAAAACAATTACTAGTAGAGTAGAAGACAAATATTTCACCTTTAATGGTGGTTACAAATATCATAGTGGAAAACAATTCGCGATCGCAACGAACTATAGGGGGCGTTGTTGTATGAGACGCTTACCTGCGATTTCCATATGAACCGTCATTCAGTTACTCTGGAGACGTCGTTAATGTAGCGTGTAGCATTGCAACGTTCCTTCTTTAATGTGGCTTATTAAATTTAAAAAAGAAAAATGCTTGATCTTCTTTCTTGTACAACCGAAAACAAAATGGTATCTCTTTTTATTAGAGAAGGAATATCCAAAACACATCGGAAAAATATTTGTACATTAACAGAAAAAAATATGTATATTCTTATAAGAGTTAAAACCTAATGCCCGAGAAATAGTATTACTAAATTTAATGATATAACATGAAAGGCCCATTTAAACTTTACATTCTATAGTTTTAAGAATCATATTAGTTCAAAAATTAAAATGAACAAAAAGTATACATAAGCCTCATAATTTTATGAAATTTAATTTTGTAAACAACGTTTTTTGACAACAATTTTTATCAAAAAATTTCAAGTTTCAATAAAAATCATTATTTAGAAACTAAGAAACGTAAAATAAAGAATGCTGACGAAAAAAAAAAAAAAAAAAAAAAAAAAAAAACAATTCTTTTTTGTCGCCATTTTTAGTGCTACGAATATTCGTCTTTGGGATTTGCCAAAAACAAAACAAGATGCAATTTTATTTTTTCAGGAGGGAAATATTTTACCGAAAAAACGAAAATGTACCAATTCCCACAACATAAAACTTTATCTTGGCAAACGTACGTTTTGGAAATGTTATTTCATTTGGAATCTTATTCATCAGAGTTCATATGGCGATATGATTGTTTTGAATCTATGCTAAACTCTATATCGGCTCATTTTCCACCGAAATCCAATTAACTATTTTGATTTTAAATAAAGTGTTTTATTTTATGAACTGTCGCAAAAATTTTAAGTGTAGATTGGCGGCACTTAAAAACCGCCAAATCTGTAGCGGCGGTGGCGTTAATACGTCGTAAGTACCGAATTTTTATTCCATACTTTTCTGAATCATATTATTTCAAACATTGGAATATACAAGAAGTATACATAAACACATAATGTTATACCATTTAATTTTTCAAAAGTATTTTGAGAACAATTTTTATCAAAAAATTATAAACTAAAAAACGGAAAATAAAGAATTCTTAGGATAAAAAAAACGATTTTAAGAATTATTAACATTGAAATAAAAACTTTCATATTGTTTCTTTTTTTATTATTCTTATAGTTCTTAATCAGACGTAAAAAACCATTCTGTAGAGAACCATCATCAAATGAAAAAAAAATATTTACAAGCAAATTTTTTATTGTAAAAATCATTGCACTTACCTGATTTATGATTCCCGGAGAATTCCAAAATGATAAGTTCCTTGTTTGAAAACTTTATTCTCAAATAATAGATACATAGTTTATACCTTCATTACTTTTAGATAACATACTACACAGCAAAATTTTATAATTGATATGAATTTGAATATGTAGCTAAAAACAGAATAGCTGAATTCTAGTTGAACTTATTCTTTCAAAATTAAAAAAAACTTACCAAGAAAACGATTTAAATTAATTAAGAATCAGCACAAATGGCACTATTTCAAGTAACTTGGATAATTTTTTATTGTTGTTTTCCGAATTATATGGATACAGAAATATATACTATTCTATAACGAAGAAGAATATGCTATAACTATTACAATTCTGTATGTTCTGAATTCATATTTATTCACTGGAATGACGAAAGCAATGTTGACTTCACTTTAATTCGTAATGAATTGAAGACAGAAGAAATGCATTTTACCTTAATACACACATCTGTAACAGTATCCGAAATCGGAAGTCATCAGTTGCAAGTTTGTTGATAATAGAAATTAAAAATTATTGAGGAATTTTTCTTCAAATGTTTGGCGTGTTCTGTTCCTGAAAGATTTACTAATATTCTGGAGATTTTTTTCAAGTTCTTCGGCCTTTTCCTTAGGGAAATTTTGTTTCTTATTTGCTGCTAAAAAATGGCGTCTGATTCAGTCAATGACTTGGATGGAACTAAATGAAAACGTGATAAATTAATGTCTGATATTTACAGGCTCCCGCTAGACGGCGTACTCGAGCGTTGCGATCGCGAATACAATTTATGACTTTTATTAATAATGATAATGACAACCAATGTGAGAAAACTGCATTCTACCAAGTTATTTTCCGGCCTATAAAAATGCACTGACAATATTGAGAAACTGTGAAGACCATTTGGTTTTTATGTTTTAAAGAAATATCAAAATGCAAATAAATTACGGCAGAATTATGCAATGATAACTTTCTCCTTGATAATTTAATAAAGATAGTTTGAAGCAAACATTGTTTTATTTTAAAATAATGAGATGCTTGCAAGTAATGTAGTATTAGGTATCTCGATCCTAATAGGTTGCAGAAACGTGACATTTGTTCACGTTAGCTACTGTTTTTTGCATTCTATTCCGAGTAAGTCAAACCCCTCAAGTATCAGTTCTCTTAAATGACACATTTTATATTCTTACACAAAGATTATTTCACAAAGATTTCAAGTCTTTCACTGTATATTTCTTACTTAAAAAACAGACATGAATGACCAGCCATGATTACGAACATAGACAAACTAATTATACATTGAAGTATAATTAATCACGGTTAATTATACGAAAATATATCACGGTTGCAATAAAATACATTAACAAATAATAAATCTAAATGTAAGAGGCGTAGACAAGAAAGAATTATATTTCAGCAAATTTTTTGTGTGATACGGAGCTGTATTTAATTAACTTTATGTTAATTAACATTCTAACTTATGTGGAAGGACTTTCTCAACTTTAACACGTTAGTTTGCTTTTATGCTATAGCTGGAGCTGATGTCAGCTGCTGAGTTGGAGCTGATGTCATTCACATGTATTGGTATCTATGATCATCTAGAAGTGCAAGTACCCAACCAATTGTAGTATTACATTATACTGAATAATTTTCAAGGCATGATTACAATCTTTACTTACCACCACAAAATCCAATTTACTATTCAAAGGTTAAGGTTGTTAACGGTTCTTGTGATGTCTAAACCTATTATAACCTAGCATATTGTACGCATAAAATAAATGACACTTATTTTTTCAACAAGGAGATATCCCAAATATATAGTAAAAACAAGGCTCTTTTTAACATTAAAATATAAATTAAGTTTAATTGTTAAATCTGATTTATCTTAGTCTTTTGTTGCCGCAGCTGTGAAC